TTTTTTTTCAGGGCAAACTACCCAAATTAAAATGTTTCTCATTGATTTCACACAATGACACATATGTTTATGATAAAAAAATTGTTCCATTACTTTGTCGAATGTCAAATCTTGAAGAATTGACATTATTTCTTAAAGTAATAAGAACTCAATTACCTTATATTGATGGTACTCATTTATTCAATGATATTCTCATTAATATGCTATTGTTAAACAAATTTACATTTAGTATAAATACTCATGTTCTCGATGGAGATGTTAAAATTGATCTTCCAACGAATAATGACATTCAAAATAGTTTTATCAAAATTGGATACAAACAAGTTGATTCATATGTCGATGTTAATTTATCGAAAATTGGTGCCAAATGCCATGTTTATTCACTTCCATATGAATTTGATACTTTTTTCGATCTGACAAACTCATTTCGGCGTGGTAATTTCGATAAAGTTCGATGTTTGGCCATGCATGATATACATCCATTTGAACATGATTATTTCAAAATTATCTCCCAAGATTTTCCTTTTCTGCAAAAATTAACTGTAATTAATTCTGAACCACAAAAAAACAAGCAACATTCATCTACATTGATTACATTTGCTCAACTTAACGAACTCTATCTGATGGATGTACATATTGATTATGTTGAACAATTTCTCTTCGAAACAAATACTCGTTTACCTCGATTAAATTATCTTACTATCAATTATGAACCATTAGCAATAGTTACAAACAATTTTATGAATGATGCAGCACGTTTCAATTGTAGTCAATTGCGAAACATTTATATATGTGAACCATTTGTTCGTCCAGAAAATTTTCATTCATATTTTACTTCATTGTAACTATTAGTTTCTTGAAAAATTTCTTCTATTTAAATAAATACTTTGAAAAAGCTAAATATATTGTGATTAGAAATATTTACAAATATCTAACAAAATCAATGATTGTTAAATGTTTGTATAAGCATTAAGGATGTATAGGACTAGTTTTCGTGTAGTCTATGAAATGAGAGAGGAAGTAAAATTGAAAATTTACTAAATTTGAGCAGATACATATCCAGAAACTTTTAATGAAAGATCCTTATGAAAAAAAGATATTATTGACTTGTGAAAACTAATGAATTTACAACTACCTCCGTGTATTAGACCTGTTTATTGGCAGAATATTAGATCGAAATACCTTTATTTTACTGTGCTATGGATACTGTGCTGTAGGCGGAAATTCTGTAAAACAACTGTAATTTTGGATCAGCAGTCAATGAGCACAAGTGCTTCTAGTATTTTCTTAGTCTCACTGAGCTCTAGCTATAGCCAAACTATGAAGCTGAAAACTCGTAATCAGTTGGGGGTAATTTTCTCGTAAGGTATACTCTCATTGTAAAGCTTCTTGATTGTTGTTATTTGCAAAGTACATCAATGTCCTTTGAACAAAGAAATAAAATTCGAGCTGAACAGTCCAACAAATATTTAAGATCACTCGGCTCGTTTCAAAGTCTGGGTCTTAGTCATCCTCATCCCACTAAAAATCTCTTTTCGTAATAATCATCTTCATTCTTGTTATTGTTATTAGTTGTCTATTTATACGAAATCATTTGATTTTTCGATTTCTTACATCAATTAATATGATTTTTACCACCATAATAAAGTGAGATCTGGTCGTCACAACCGAAATACACTAGAATCAGCTCGTTGAGCTCTACAGATTGGGATATCTTCCATTCGAAACGGTGATTCACACTTGGGGGCCTTCCATCGTAAGCTGGAAAACTAGATATAACAACGACTATGCTTAATTTTTAATAAAATACCAAGAGAAAACAGCATAGAAATATAATCGGCTGAGCCGGCGAGACACAAAAATATTAATTTTTAAGAATTTTCAACGTGTTAAATCAGTTACTGGAGATATTACCGTCTAGTTTCTTATCAATAAGTTCTCGACTATCATTTTCTCTCTTTTGCATTGAAAAATTTCAGCCACTGCCGATCCATAATGCATCGTCTTACACTTCTATTCGTATCACATATAATTCTTCTAGTAATCATTCTAAATATCATAGTTTTTTATTTATTGACTAATTATCAAAAAAAAACAAAAACTTGGTAGAACAGTTACACAAAAAAAATGGAAAAATTTGCAATTTTAACTATTGTGTATCGACAACAAAGAATTATTTATCAAATAAAGAAAAAAAAAATTTTTTTACATAAATGTTTCTAATCCAGCCCATGAACGACCAAGTATATCAACATCTGTTGCTTGATCAATAATACAATCAATTTGTTCATCAACAGTTAATTTATGATAACGATTTGAATTATATTTTAATAAAATTTGTGCACGTTTACTATCTATTTGATCACCACCAACAACTTTTTCCATTTGACGACGCGCTTCTTTTAAATTTGATGAACGAAGAAAACTATTTAATTTCAAATCAGATCTTAAACAACAAAAAAAACAAAATTCATAAATAAATTATTTTACTCATTTATTCATACCCAATTATAACAGCTGGATTAATTCCATTAAGTTTTAATCGTGCACTTTTAATTCGATCTTTTGCATAGGTATCATCCGAACGAAGTATATTTGTTTCTAGACAAAAAGGAAAAAAAACATCATTTTCAAAGAAAAAAATCCATTATTTTTAATTTCATTTACATACCATTTTGTGCAACTTGTTTACTTGTTTTAAGTGCATGTTCCTATAATTAAAATTAGTTTTTTGTGTTTTTTTATTATATAAACAAAAAACTTACCATCCATTCCATTAATGGTTCTTTAATAAATACATCCATTGTACTAAGTAATAAATCCGAATTTTCACGTAATGCATTCATTGTATGAATCATTGTTGCACGAAATAAACCAGATGTACCAATAGGTGACATTAATTGTGTAAGTTGTCGTGTTAAACGAATTGGTATTAATTCTGGTACGGGTAAATGCTAAAAGAATAAATACAAAAACAAAGAAGAATTTATTTTTTCTATATTTAATAATATAATTTCATAATTACAATCGTAGCTGCATTAAATGCTGAACCAAAATCAATACCAATTATTTGACCAGATGATGTATCAATAAGAAAACTAAATAATTTTGTAAAATATACGGATTACATGAATTTCAGACTGGACTCAAGTTTATTTCATTAGTACCCGTAAAAAATCTTATCCATTTAAATAGTTGGTTTCAAGATTATGCATTTTCATTAAAACATCGTACTCAGCAAAATAGCATAGTCTGAATACATACATACGCATACTAGCTCAACCTTGATATGCTATAGTGTCATCTAAATCCCTACTGCTAAATAGAACCCTGAAGTGTGATTTGATTTAATGAGGAAATGTTTTCAATTTGTCAATTGCTTTCTCATTCAAAGCTAATTGACTATAAGTTATTAGTCATGGATTTGAAACAAAAGAAATCATTATTTTCTAGGCAATTTGATAGGTTCTATAATCTGGACAGATTAAAAGAGACTTTTGGCAAAAAGTTTGTTCGTCTGAAAAAGCAACTTATGTAGGCCTAAGGGAATTTCTCATAGTCCTATTCGAAATCAGCATAGTTAATAACTTGAAATCCACTAGCTTTCGATGAGAAAGCGAGTGATCAGTTGAAAACGTGCCTTCGTAAGAACATGTTTTTAATGAATATGCATACTGCACTAAGTACTATAGAGTGTACCAACTATTCATAGGAATAAAACCTTTCATGAGAATTAATAAGATAAACTTGGATTTGATCCCTCGAATATTTAACATACTTCGATTGATGTCGATCACCAATACCAAGTATATATTGACTTGTACATAAAACAGCATAACTTGTTATAAATTGTCGACGTAATGTATAAAAACCTTCATGAGAAATAGCTATTTTATAATAAGCACGTCGAAGTAAATCAGCAGGTATAACTGATTGTATATGATTAAATTCTTCTTGAACTTGAGCTTTTGTTAAACTAAGAAATAATTCAGCATACATTACTGTATTATTAGCTGTTTTAGCTGTTGGTTTAGCTTTTTGATATGTATTTGTTACATAATCTTGATAAAGTTTTCTTGGATGTTGACCTTGATTTGTTATTATATCAAGTTCATTATCATTATATGATTCTTCAATAAGATCTTTTAATGGACGTGTATTATCAAGCCATTCGATCATACCCAATTTTGATGACATTGGAATAACTAAAATAATTATATTTAGAAATTT